CTCCCTCCGTCCCCTCCCCCTTCCCTTCCCCGCAGGCCCCCCCAGCTCCCTCCTGCCCCTCCCCCTTCCCTTCCCCGCAGGCCCCCCGCCGCGGCCGCTCACCAGTCCTTCACCGCGATGGCCGGCTGAGTGGTGTCCAGCAGCTCCTCCCAGTAGCCCTCAGCCTGCAGGTCGATGACCTGCGCTTTGCGACACCACCTGGGGAACTGGGGTTAGGAGGGAGTGGGGACCCCTTCCCCCCCCGGGGCCCTCCATGCCCCCTCTCCTTACTCAAAGGAGGAGGCGAAGTACTTCTTGACGCTCTCGTCGTGGATGAATTCCGCCCCACAGTCTCCGGGCAGGTCCTCCACCCTCCAGCCGTCCCCGCCGTGCTCCACGTCGCACCAGCCCTCCAGGTCCTCTGTAAGACCGCGACAGCCCCGCCCTGGTCCCCCACTCCGGGCTGGGCTGGGGGTGCGGTCCCTGCGCCTGCAGCTGCCGGGCAGGGGAGCGCTGCGCTCTCACGGGGAGGGGAGGGCAGGGGATGCTGGGGGTTGGGACGGGGGGCACTTCCTGTTCGGCCCCAGATTCTCTCTCCCTGGGAGGGTCCTCCGCAGGGCCCGCCTTGCCTCAGATCGTGAGGGTGGAAGGACCTGGAAGAGGGCCCCCCCCGCCCCCCAGGGGAGGCGGCTCCGGGGGCCCATGATGTGCCACAGTATTATTGTTGGGGCTGCTCTGCAGGGCCTTGGGCCAGGACTTTATCCCATTTAGCCCCCCACGCAGGCTGGCGTTGTTCCGGCCCATTTTGCAGAAAGGGAAGCTGAGCGAGCTCCCCAGGCCCCTCACCTTCCCCGCACGGGTTGCGCAGAAGGTTGCGCCGCCGCTTGCTCAGGAAGTAGAACTGCTGCCAGTGGTCGCGCTCGTCCTCCGCGCCGCCCTCGGGCACCAGCCCCTCCTGCTGGCACTTGAGCAGCCAGAGGGGGGCGCCGTCCACCAGCTCCTTCCAGCGCAGGCACACCAGGCGGCAGGCCTGCACCAGCTCGGCGGCCGGTAGCTCGGCCAGCACGCGCAGCAGCAGCGGCTCGGGCAGCCCGTCCAGGTACGCCGCCTCCTCTTCCTCCTCCTCCTCCTCGGGCCGCTCCTCCCCGGCGCTCGCCTCCTCCGCGCCCGCTTCCTCCTGCTGCCCCTCCGGGCTCACCTCCTCCGGCTGGCCCACACTCTCTGCAGCCGGGGGATGGGGGGGCGGGGGGGAGAGACTTTGACTCTGCCCAGAATATCCCCCTCCAAGTTTCTCCAAGCTTCAGAACCGCGACGTGTCGCGTCTCTGCCCCTCACCCACCCTGGGACAATCCGAAACCCGGCCCGAGGTTCTGTGTCCAGAGAGTGGTGCCCAGTGGGGAAGACCCCAGGGAGCTAGGGCCACAGACCAGCGCCCAGTCCGAAGAGTTTCCTTGCAGGGCCAGTAAACGCCAGCAGATAACAGCAACTGATCATCTTACCGTAAGGGCATCCATCTACTGCACAAACTTGACTTTAGCCACTCCTTTATCCTTACAACCGCCCCTGGAGAACCCAGCTCCCCTCCCCTCCTCCGTGGACGGCTCCCGAACTTCCCACCATGGAATCTTCCGGCCGTGGAGTTCCAGCCCTTCCTAGGGTTTGCCTCGGGGTGTGTTGGTTTGTGAACACTTCCCTCAGGACTAGACTGAGTGCAAGAAGGCAGGAACTGGGTCTGGGACAGCTCCATCCCAGTGCCTGGCATCTGGAACACACTGTCGGCAGCTGATGTTTACTGGGCATTTAGCAAGAGCGAGACATTGTCCTAACTGTTTTTCTTTTCTCTAAATCCCCACAGCATCTCTTTGAGGTTGCTCCTATTGCTGTTGCCATGTCATTGATAAAGAAACTGAGGCACAGTGAGGTGAAACCACAGGGTCACAGCAAATGAGTGGTTGAAGCCTGGCTTCAAATCCAGGCTCAAAAAATAAAATAAAAAGCCCTCAATAAAATAGTTTGTTGACTTTGGAGGCACCGTATGATTTGATTTTGACTCGCCAGAGGTTATGGGACATGGGGATCTGAGGCCTGAAGGGAAAGGAGAACAGAGGCTGTAATCCTCTACCAGCCACAGCAGGGTGACGTGGGAGCTCAGTAAAAGAGAGCAAGTAGGGGCATCTGGGTGACTCAGTCGGTTGAGCACCCAACTCTTGGTTTCAGCTCAGGTCATGATCCCGAGGTCCTGGGATGATCCGGAGAGTCCTCGGGCTCTGCGCTCAGCATGGAGCCTGCTTGGGTTTCTCTCTCTCTCTCTCTCTCTCTCTCTCTCTCTCTCTCTCACGCACACACACACACACACACAAATAAAATAGAAAGCAAGTATATCAAACAGGGAGATGTAATAAGTGCTCAAGAAAGGAAGGTCTTGTAACTCCCTTTTCCTGTCCCTGGCCCTCAGTTTCCTCATCTATACAATGGGAGTAATCATTGTGCCAGGCCATCCGAACAGTGCTGCTGTTCCAGTCCCCTGAGGAGGGGGCAAGAGCACTCTAAATTGTAAGGAGGTGGACAGATGTCAGGAGCTGCAGACCCAACTATCTCCTGGAACCCAGTCAGCCTCTGCTGGGCCATCAAAACCTTGAGTAAGCAGACACTGAGTGCAGTGTCTCTGGAGAAGGAAAAGAAAAGTGGTGAGGAGCTGGGGCCACTCTGGGGGAGGGGGGGGAGGGGGGCGAGTGCTCTCAGACCTAGGATGGGGCGTTCCTAAGGGCCCGAAAGCCCAGGCGGTGGCAGAAACAGGCTGAATGGGGGCAGGGAAGGACAGGCAGGGCCTAGACCCAAGTCTGGGCGTTGCCAGGACCCCAGGCTGCCAGCCCTTTACCTCCCTCCTCACACGCAGCACTTTCACCCCTGTCCCACAGTCAGGCCCTTAAGGGCTGATCCAGGGTTTACCTCTTCTTTGGAGCCCGGAGCACACAGTCAGTCCTCCGCAAATCTTATTTAGTGAATCCCATGGAGCACAACACTTTCCTGCATTATTAGTTGCTTTGGGGGGGGGGCACTTCTTGATGATGTGGGGGTTTAACCCTTTTCTTTTTCTGCAGAGAGGAAACTGAGGGCCAGTTTCCTGGCCAAGCTTCTCCCAAGTCACGTGGAAGAACAATGGGCAGACAGAAAGGAAAATGCCAGGCTCTGAAGCTGCATCACCTGCCTGTCCTGCTGCCCCCAGCTCTCTGGGGAGCCCGGCCCAGTGTCCTCGCCTCTCCAGCCCTCCCCCTGCCCTGCTCTGGCCCTGGTGGACACCTGATGCTCCCACGAAAGGTGCACCTTGCCCAGTCCCCTCTCCTGGCCCCAGGCCTGGCACTCCAGGCCCCAGATCTGATTACAGCCCCCCCACCCCTTTCCAGCACACACAACTCTCCACATTGTTGCTGTCGGAAAGTTATCTGGCCCCTAGAAGCTGCCTCCCAGGCTGATTCACTCACCTGCATTGGGCCCTGGAGTCCAGGGAATAGCTGAGCCCTGGGAAAAAGCAGGAGCCCATTCTGGGCCCCTATAGAGGGTGTGGCAAGGGGGGGGGTCACCGAGTGGGAGGAGGGGCTGAAGGAGCTGGGAGTTTCAGGGCTGGGGAGAGAGGGGCTTGCATCAGATGCACCCTAGCGGAGCGTGCATCAGTGTTGATGTCGACCCCTCCAGGCAAGGCCCACTCTGAGACGGGCCTGCCCGGACAGGAGTGGGGAAATCTGCAGGCAGGTTTTGTTCCCACCCTGACTCAGCAAGCAACCCCTACAGGCCCAGCAGAGAGTTAGAGGGATGGAGAGAAGGCGGGGGGGGGTCTCTGGTGCCAGGCAAGATGACTGGGCAGTCTCAGAGGGCCCTGATCTGTGCCCCAACTCTCCCTCACCGCTGGCCCGATCCCCAGTGGGCAACCCGCCACCCAGTTGAAGAGCAGCCCCTCCACACAAGAGAGCCAAGGAGGAAGGCTGGGATGGGGTGGGGAGAGGCCGGTAACCCCAAGAAGTCCGTAGGGATACACGCAGCTCAAGGGCCAGAGCTGGCAAATGAAAAGAAGTTGAGAGAAGAAAAACGGTTGCAGCCTCCGGCACCCCCGATGCGCCCCAGACCCGGACCCAACAGACCCTCAGGAAGCTGAGCGGTGGGAATGTGGGATCACTCCTACCCTATCCCCCCCCACCCCCCGGGTTAATAGGACCCAGGAGTCGTCCCTCCCTGCGGGTCACCCTTGCAGGCATCCAGCCCGACACAGGGCTGTGCTCTTTGAAAACTGTTTCAAGGCCTTTGCGTGGGTGCAAGTTTGCCGCGCTGGGTCTCGGGGACCCCCTCGCTTTCGGATGCCCCCTCTCCGTGGCATTCGCCCGCCTGCCTCGGTCTCCCCTCCCGGGCCGAGCGAGCGGATCCGGGTGGCGGCGGCTACCTGGTTCACCGTCTCCGTCCATCGCTGCGGAGGGCGGTCGTGAGAGGAGGAGGAGCCGGAGCGCTGCGGGGCTGCCCGAGTCCCGCGGCGGCGGCGAGTCCAGGCGCTGCCCGCGTCTAGGTCGGGTCCTGGCCGGCCGCGCCTCTTAAAGGCCCCCGCCTCCGCCCCCGCCCCGCCTTTGGCCGGGAGCCGGGACGCCCCGCAGTCTAGGACGGTGGGCCCCAGGCCTGAGCCTACCGGTTCCGCGGCCGACCCAAGGGGCAGGGAGAGGTCAGGAGTCGGGTTTTTTAATGGGAGTGGTGATCCGATTTGGGGGGGGTTCTCCCAGTTGCCTCCAGGGGTGGCTGCTGGAAGGAGGAGGCGAGGGGACACCGCGAGTCTGGGTCATGCGGAGGGTGCGGGGCGCGCGGCCGAGGAGGAGGGGGGAGGGGGGCGGAGGCTCCTCCCGGCGCTCCCCTCCAGGTAATTTTCCTACGCGGTGGCGGGCGCAGCGCGGGGAGGACCGAGGGGGCGGGGCGGGGCGGGGCCTGGGGGCCGGGGCGGGGCCTACGCGCTCGTGACAGTCGGCCGAGGTCCGCTCAGCCCCGCGGCCCAGCCGCAGCGGGCAGCGGCGGCCAAGCGAAGGTGACCCGGCGGGAGTGGGCGCGGGGAGCGCCGCGGCGGGGGTGCGGGCCGGCCGGGGCCGGGGGCAGGGGGTGGGCGGGACGGTGTCCGGCCGCGCGGCCGTGCGCGGAGGGAGGCCCGGCGCGCACCAGGCCCAGGCCTCGCGGGCTGCGCGGCGCGGGCGAGAGCGGCGGCGCAGAGGGAACCGCGGCTGGGGTCGCTTATCGACGCGCAGGGGTCCCGGCTGCAAGCCCCGGCTTTGGGTGGGTGGGGGGCACTTTAAAGCCACAGCGCGAGGTGGGAGGCGTGCGCGCCGGGGTCCTGGGGCTGAAGCCCAGCCGCGAGGATGCAGACAGGAGTATAGGAAAGAAAGGCCTTTCCCCATCGCCCACCCCCTCTCGCGTCCCAGCCAGGCACCTCATTTACTCTGCGGCCTTCAGAAAGTCGCTTGAGCTCTTTAGACCTCCGTCAGAGACCATGATCATTAACACCCCCCCCCCCGCCCCCAATCTCCCTTCTCCGTTTGAGGACTTGCCGGAGTGCTCTGCGGGACTGCGCATTGTTATTTACACTGTACAGACTGGCCTAATGGAAGAGGCCGGCTCTAGAATCCGAGAAGCCTCTTTTCCCTCTTTGTCTTTATGACCTTGGGCAGGTTCTCGCACCCCTCTGGGCCCCCTTAGCGTCCTTTAGAGGCTGTTGTCTAAGGCGGCAGTAAAATCAATCACCATTTATTGAGCATGTGTTGTGTCACGGCATTTGAACCCATTTTAGTACAGTTCCTGGTCCCATTTTACAGAGGAGGAAACTGAGGCTCGGAGAAGCTCGGTGCATTTCCTGAGACAGTAAACGGCAGAGCTGGGCTGGGAGCCTCCACCACCATGGGGTGCTGCAGATACCCTGTCTGGGAGAGAGGGCCAGGTTTGAAGGGTAGCTTTTCAATAACCACAGGGGGTGTCGAGAAGCCACAAGCCATGGCCCCAGTCAGTATCAACGAGCTCCCTGAGAACATTCTGCTGGAGGTGCTCACGCACGTGCCCGCCCGCCAGCTGCTCCTGCGCTGCCGCCTGGTCTGCAGCCTCTGGAGAGACCTCATCGACCTGGTGACCCTCTGGAAGCGCAAGTGCCTGCGCGAGGGCTTCGTCACTGAGGACTGGGACCAGCCTGTGGCCGACTGGAAGATCTTCTACTTCCTACGCAGCCTCCACAGGAATCTTCTACACAATCCATGTGCCGAAGGTGGGCTGGGGGGCGGGTCTGGCCTGCCCCCAACACACATGCTGCCCAGATAGCAGTTGACTCTCATTATGCATTTACTACGAGCCAGGCACTTTGGACGGTTTAACTCCTTTAATACTCGCACAATAATCCCAAGAGGTAGGTGCTGTTAGTGCTCCCATTTTTCAGATGGGCAAACTGAGGCCATGAGTGGCATTTTTGTATTCCACTCTTGAGAAAATATGTCCCCAGTGACCTTTCCTAGGAGAGGGACTGTTGAGCAGTTAGGACTACTTGTGCCCAAGACACAAGACCAGGAAGTCGGAGCCATAATTTGTTGGCCTAGATCCCAGAGGCCGGCGCTAGGTGTACTGGGACTGTCCCAGAGTGCAAAGGGGACTTTACTCATGGCAGAATGAGAGATCCACTCTTTTTTCCAGCATATTACAACAACAAGAAAAACAAAATTTCTACATCACCTAGAGCTCCCTTTTTCCCTTACTGCATCGGAACTCATTGGCCAGGCGGTGGGATGGGATCGTTAAGTCAGTTTCCGTTACATGGCCAAATTCTGATGCAAAATGATAATGAAATAACTCCAAGCTGTCCAGAGCTTTCAGGTGCCTGCCTCACTTGACTCCCCAACGGCCATGATCTTGGCGCACTATGGTCCATTAGCCACACATGGCCCAGGAGCTAAAACTAGCTTTTGTGATTTTAAATAGTTATATATCAAAAAAATTAAAATAAAAAAAAGACTAATCGAGATAGTATGTAGGCCACAAAGCCTAAAACCTTTTGGCCCTTAGCAGAAAAAGTTTGCCAGCTCTTGTTCTTTTTTTTTTTTTAATATTTTTATTTATTTCTAGGATAGAGAGAGACAGCATGAGCAGGGGAGGGTCAGAGAGAGAGGGAGATACAGACTCTGAAACAGGCTCCAGGCTCTGAGCTGGCAGTCAGCACAGAGCCCAACGCGGGGCTCGAACCCACGAACCGCGAGATCATGACCTGAGCGAAAGTCGGACGCTTAACCGACTAAGCCACCCAGGCGCCCCTGCCAGCTCTTGTTCTTAACTCCAGGTTACAGAGGACAAAACCAAGACTCAGAGAGGGAAAGCAACGAATCTAGGGTCACACAGCCCAATATTGGTAGAGCTGGGCCTAGCCCCCGATCTGGCTGGCTCTGGCGTCAGAGCGCTCTCCCATCACAGAAGGGATCTGGTTACTCCTGTGGTCACATGTCTTGGGACCACATGTCACTTGCTGTGGTGCCTGGCACATGGGAAGCAGCTAGTACAAAACAGCAGCGTCCCACAGCGTGAAGCTTGAGGGCAGCTGCAGAGATCCAGGGAGCGGATCCAGGAGGAAGGGGCTCTTTGGAGAGAGGGACCCCTGAGGGGCTTCCTTATGACAGGAGTTCTGCTTTCTGGCCAGAGGGCTTTGAATTCTGGAGCCTGGATGTGAATGGAGGCGATGAGTGGAAGGTGGAGGATCTCTCTGGAGACCAGAGGAAGGAATTCCCCAATGACCAGGTCAAGAAATACTTCGTGACTTCTTATTAGTAAGAGCTGAGGCTGGGGAAGTCTTGGGGTGGGGGAAAGCCCGAGCCACTTCACCCTGGGGTCTCCTGCCTCCAGAAGGGGCAGCCCTAACCCCTCAGTGCCCTAGTGCTGAGCCCCAGCCCCTTCCACCCCTCCGTCCAACCCCCCCCCCCCAGCACCTGCCTCAAGTCCCAGGTTGTGGACCTCAAGGCCGAAGGGTATTGGGAGGAGCTGATGGACACCACACGGCCGGACATCGAGGTCAAGGACTGGTGAGTGCCTGGGGCGAGGGTCTGGGGGAGGGGGGCCTGCCACTCAGGCGCCCCGCCCCCACCCTGCCCCCCATCTCCGAGGCCCTGATGGACCCTCCCTCTGCCTGCAGGTTTGCAGCCAGGCCAGACTGCGGGTCCAAGTACCAACTGTGTGTCCAGCTCCTGTCGTCAGCACATGCGCCTCTGGGGACCTTCCAGCCAGACCCGGTGACAATCCAGCAGAAGAGCGATGCCAAGTGGAGGGAGGTATGTGCACCAGGAGGAGGGTGGCTGGCGTATTCCCGAGGCTGCGACTGCCGTCAGACGAGCCCGGGTTCGAATCCCAGCTCACCTGGGCATCCGCTTCTCAAGCTCTGAAAGATATCAGTGAAATGATGCTGGTAAAGCCATGTTCAAAAAGGTTTACTGTTTTAGTCGCTAATATCGGCTATCCCTACTGTTTACACCAGGGGGCAGCAGATACAAATATCTTACGCTTTGCAGGCGTTGGTGTCTCTACCATCACAACTCAATTCTTCAGCTGTGCCATTGTGTTGTGAAAACAGCTATATGAGCATGGCTGTGTTCCAGTAAAGCTTCATTTATAAAAGCAGGCAATGGGCCCCTAGGCCACAGCTTGCCAATCTAGACCAGTGCCGTCCAGTAGAACCTTCTGCAGTGGTAGAAGTGGTCTGTAACCAATAGCCACATGTGACTATGAACACTTAGTAAGAGCTAGTTCTGGGGCATCTGGGTGGCTCAGTCGGTTAAGCGTCTGACTTGGGCTCAGGTCATGATCTTGCGGTTTGTGAGTTTAAGCCCCGCGTCGGGCTCTGTGCAGACAGCTCAGAGCCTGGAGCCTGCTTCAGATTCTGTGTCTCCCCCTCTCTCCGCCCCTCCCATGCTCATGCTCTGTCTCTCAATAATAAATAAATGTTTTTTAAAAAACCTAGTTCCTAGTTTGACTGAGGAACTAAATTTTTAATGTTATCTAATTGTAATTAATTTTAACTGAAATGGTCACATGTGCCCAGTGATGACCGTATTGGACATCCTTCACTTTCCTTCAGTTCCTTTGAGCCACACGTAAGCAATCCTGTGGAGTGGACGGACCCAGGAGGATTCTGCCCCATTTTACTTAAGGAAACTGAGGCAGAGAGGGGAAGTGGTCTACCCAAAGTCATAGAGTTAGGACTAGAACTCGGTTTTGCCGACTGCTGGGCCAGCATTAAGACCTTGGCCCCTGACCTCTCTCCCTCCACCTACCCGCCCCCCCCCTCCCCCGCCAGGTCTCTCACACGTTCTCCAACTACCCGCCCGGCGTCCGCTACATCTGGTTTCAGCACGGCGGCGTGGACACTCACTACTGGGCCGGCTGGTACGGCCCGAGGGTCACCAACAGCAGCATCACCATCGGGCCCCCACTGCCTTGATGCCCCCCAAGCCCTGACCTGCCAAACCCCGACTGGTAAACTGCGGTCAGAGAAAGGCTGGGTTAGGGAAGGGGAGGGGGGCTGGGCTCCCCCAGACCTCCTCATTCATCCTTGCCCGTCAGTTGCCTATTTTGTGGAGCCTCACACACCGTGGGGGCCAGTGTTCTGTCCCAGGTCTCAGCCTGAGTCATGGTGGGGGAGGCCTGTGGGGTCCCCTTTAAGAGATGGGGCCCCTGAGGTTGGGGAGGTGCAGGGCATTCTCCCAGCGTCCTCCCAGAGTGGTCTCCAGGCTCAGATGCCAAATCTAGATGTGTGTCTCTGCCTTCCCCTCCTGGGCCCTTTCTCCCTGTCTTCACTGGGGGCCCTCGGAGCAAGAACAGTCAAGACATCTGGCAAGCCTATGTCTGGCCTCGAGGTGCAGATGCTTGGATGGGACCACGTAGCTCAGACAGATCTGGGAGCAGAAGGGGAGCTGTGCTGGGCTGTCTTCTGCCCCTCCAAGCTCTCTGCTCTGCCGGCCAGGCTCAGGCCTGAGCCCCGAGTCTGAGATGGGCAAGCCCAAGATGGGTTGGGGTCTAGGCCAGGTCTGGACTGATCTCGCTGTCAATGAAGCCTGAGAAGTCAGAAGTCAGAATATCAGGTGGGGGCAGGATCTCCAAAAGACCCCTGGAGTCCTGTGCACGGTAACCCAGGGCAGGGGGAGGGCAGGATTAGACCCTGATTCTAAGAGCCAGGACGTGTAAGCCCTGGATGGGATGAGTGGGAGGTTTTCAAGGACCACCCGTCCACCTCCATGCCTCGACCACCCTCCCTGTGGCTTGGAAAGCATTCCACGTCACCCCTGGAACTGCTGCGGTTCCCAGAACCTCCCCGCCCTGCCCACCTCACTCCTGCCTCTCCCTCCTGCTGGAAGGACAGGCTGTGCTCTGATTCTGCTCCTGCTGCATGCAGCTAAATAAAAGGTGTTCCCAGTTCAACTTGTGCCCTGTGGTTTCTGAGGGGGAAGGCAAGTTTCATGAGAAGCCGAACCCTGGACCTGCAGAAGGCGCAGCCTATGTGGCTTCTGTCCAAGGTACAAAGAATGGCTGACATTTCAGGAGGCGGACTATGGCAGGATCATAGGACAGACCTCTCAATGAGCTGCCAGCATCTCACCCTAGCAGCCCTCCGGCACTGGTAGCTTCCTCCGGAGCCCGGCCACCAGCCGGGAGCGTGTGGATATCTGGGTAGGCCTTGTGTACATCTCATTGCAGGTACTGCTTGCTCCTTGCTTGCTCTGCCAAGAGTTTTACTGACATTAGATGAAGCCGGAGCATTTAGAATGGTGTGAGGTGCTTGATGTACTGCTTATCTCAGTAGTGACCTAGATGAGGGCCTCAGCCGTGGCAAGGACGCCACTCACTAGCAGTCTGGGAAACTGCAAGTTAGCCAAAGACACCTTTGGGGGAGACGCAGCCCTGATGTGTTCACAAGGTGGCCTGGGCCAGGCACCCCTGCGCAGTGCACAGCCTGCACAACCCTTTGAGGTTGCCTTAGGTAGGTGCTGGATAATTATTTGTTGAATGACGAAAGGAATTAATAAATTTAATCCCGACCAAAACGCAGAGAGGCTTTTCACTTTCGAGTAAATTGACGCCTACCCGAAGCCAGGCCCTAGTGAAAAGTGAAAGCCGAGCTCCAGCCCAGAGTGTCTGCAGTCACCCTCGGGGAGGGCCCCACCACCTCCCTTCCTTGGCGGAGGGCACTAGTGAAGACGTCTTAGAGCGACCTGCGCGGAGGGGAAGCCTCAGGCTTCCTAGAGGGAAGAGAAAGCAAAAGGAAGAAGTAGGACCCGGCTGCCGAGCCGCGCACCACCTGGAGGCGAAGACAGGCTAAGGCTACGAGGTCTGGAGGGTCGGTAGCGCGGCGCCGACCCTGAGGGTCTCAGGCCCCCCTCCGCTTAGCTACGGAAGGAGCTGACGACGGCCAGGGCGGAGCCGGGCGGGGCGAGGCGGGGCGGGGCGGGGCGGGGCGAGACGGTGGGCGGGGCGGTGGGCGGGGCCCCCGGACACGAGCGGGGCGGTCCGAGCCCGGCGCGTGACGCGAGGACGGGGCGGGGCGAGAGCGGACGGCGCAGCGGAAGGCGCGGGGTCCCGGCAGACCCGGAGCTCAGGTCCCTCAGGTCGCAGTCCAGCCCGGGGGACGGGCGTGGGGCGACGGGCACGGGTAGGGCTTGGGTGTCCGGCATCCCTGGGGGGCGGGGGGCGGGGCGTTATCTGAGCCGGAGGCGCAGTCTCCAGCGGGCGGGGACTCCCGGGGCCGCGAGGTGGGGGGGTCGTGGCGGCGCGAGGCGGAGGGGCGGCTCCGGGCACCGTCGCCCAGGTCTGGTCACGCGCTGGGCCGGATCCCGCGCCGCCCGGCCCCTGGCCCCCGACTCCGGGCCGTTCCGCCAAGGAGCGACGCGCCGCCTGGGGCCGATCTGGGACCTCCCGGCAGTACCACGCCGGCAGGGCCTCGGACCGCCGCCAAACTTTCCCGAACCTCAGCTTTTGCTTTCGAGAAGTTGGCATGGTAATGGTGCCTGGAGGGGGTGTGGAGAAGGTCGCGCCTCGGGCTGGGGACGTGAGAAGCACAAGGTGCCCCGGGGTGGCCACCCCCTGCCCCGATCCTGCGCAGTCATGCCTCGCCGGACACTCGTGAAGTACAGAAACGGAGGGAGGGGGTGCGAGTGAGAAGGGCGACCAGAGCCGGAGATCAGCCCCCGGACGCCTGGGTGAGGAGCCCTTCGTAGCTAAGTCTCCTCTCACCCCCACCCGGCGACTTGTATTTGGCCGAGACAGTGTTTTTAGGAGTTGCCAACATTTAAAATTTGACGGGTTTCATATTTTCAGAATTGTTTAGAGTTGCTTCTGAAACATCGGAAGACCTAGCCAGCCACACGGAGTCTTTCCCACCCTAGCGTTATTGTGCAAGGTACAAGCACCTGATTTATTGTTCTCTGCCCTGCTGAAACGGCCCCTCCCTGGGCCAGAGCTAGATTATGTGTCCACTTCAGTTTTGCTGGGATGGTAGCTTTGGGAAGACCGTGGGCTGCTGTGGAAAAAGAAATCTCAGAAACTCTGGGGCAGGAGAGTAGTTCCTCCCTCCCCCGCCTGTAAGCCGGGAAGGCCCATCTGACAGCGACTGGCCTTCTCTCCCCTCTTGGGGGGCTCTCCTTAGCCACCTGGATAACCAGGCAAGAGTCAGGCCAGGGTGACACTAAATTTCCCAAAACCCTTGTTCAGTTCCGATGTAGACGACAGCTGCTGCAGAGTTTTCGCTTTAAGGATAGAAGTCTAAGTATTAGTGGTCTGGAGCACCTCTCTACCAGCCCTGCGCTAAGTGCTTTACATGTGCTAACTGAGTCCTCCCCAGCCCTTCTGAGGTTGGGCCGGTTATTCGCTCCTGTTACAGCTCCCCAAGCTGGCTGCCGCGGGCCAGGATTCAAACCCAGGCAGTCTTGCTCAGGCTCCCTCAGTCTGCTTTGCAGTTTCTGAGCATTTCAAAGTAGGCCTCTGGCCTGATGCCTAAACCAGAATGGGGTGTGGTGAGCTGGGGGGGTGCTTCTCATTGGGTGTTTTAGCACATCTGGTTTCCAGGCCAAATTGAGCAATCAGGGGAGAGGAAGTTGGTTTCTCAGCACTAGCCCCACTGCTTAATGAATTTGTGACATGGAATATAAGATCTTTATTACGTCCCCAGACTAATATGAATTCCCAGCACCAAAGTAACATCACCACAAACTCTTGCAGGGCTCGCAGACAACAGCGTGGCCTGGGCAAGGTCTTCCAGCAACTTAGAACCAAGCAATTTTTTTTTGAGAGAGAGAGGGCACAAGTGAGCCAGGGGCAGGGAGAGGGAGAGAGAAGTGGGGCTCACGCAAAGCGGGGCTCAAGCTCACCCGAAGCAGGGTTCGTGCTCACCCAAAGTGGGCTCCAAGTCACCTGATGTGGGTCTCGAACTCACGAACTGTGAGATCATGACCTGAGCTGAAGTCCAATGCTTAACCGACTGAACCACCCAGGTGCCCCATTAATGAGGGGAAGGGCCTCTTTAAATATTAGCCCATAAAGTCTTTATTAATGTTTTGATTACACTCTTTCAAACATGTGTAGCGTGTGACCACTCCGTATTCTGATGGCCAACTCTGTACTGGAAGGACACTCAAATGTGCCGTCTACTCCTCGTTTCACAAGCCTGGGTGGCTCAATTGGTTGAGCTTTAAAAAAAATTTTTTTCAATGTTTATTTTTGAGAGAGAGATAGATACACCTAGCATGAGTTGGGGAGGGGCAGAGACAGAGAAGGAGACACAGAATCCAAAACAGTCTCCAGGCTCTGAGCCCAATGCAGGACTCAAACTCAGGATCAGCAAGATCATGACCTGAGCCGAAACTGGGCACCCAATTGACTTAGCCACCCAGGCACCCCTCAATCGGCTGAGCATCTGACTTCAGCTCAGGTCATGCTCTCATAGCTCATGATCGTGACTCAGCCTGGCTCATGAGTTCAAGCCCACATCAGGCTCTGTGCTGACAGCTCAGAGCCTGGAGCCTACTTCAGATTCTGTGTCTCCCTCTCTCTCTCTCTGCCCCTCCCCTGCTCACGCCCTGTCTCTCTCTCTCAAGAATAAACAAATGTTAAAATTTTAAATTTTTTTTATTTTTTAATATTTATTTATTTTTGAAAGAGACAGAGCGTGAGCAGAAGAGGAGCAGAGAGGGAGGGAGACACAGAATCCGAAGCAGGCTCCAGGCTCTGAGCTGTCAGCACAGAGCCCAACACAGGTCTTGAACCCACGAACCATGAGATCATGACGTGAGCCAAAGTCGGATGTTTAACCAACTGAGCCACTAAGGCTCCCCCCCCCCACTTTTTTTTTTAAAGAGCCTCTGGCTTAGGTCCATGGGAATCCGAGGGGTCCACCTGCTTGGTCAGGGCTCCTAACCTGTGTTGCCAACCCTCCCCCTCCACAGGCCTGTGTGTGGACCCTGCCTCACCCCAGCCATGGCCCCAGTCAGTATCAACGAGCTCCCTGAGAACATTCTGCTGGAGGTGCTCACGCACATACCCGCCCGCCAGCTGCTCCTGTGCTGCCGCCTGGTCTGCAGCCTCTGGAGAGACCTCATCGACCTGGTGACCCTCTGGAAGCGCAAGTGCCTGCGCGAGGGCTTCGTCACCGAGGACTGGGACCAGCCTGTGGCCGACTGGAAGATCTTCTTCTTTCTGTGCAGTCTCCGCCGGAATCTCCTACGCAATCCGTGCGCTGAAGGTGGGCCGGGGGCTGGTTCCCTCCCTCTCCTGACACTCAGGAGGCCTTTGCCCTCACAATTCTCACCCTGTCTGGAACGTTCTCTCACGCCCCTCCCACACTCCCTTGATTCCTCATTTTTCACGTCTCAGTTCAGACACCTGCCCTGCCCCCCCCATCTACCTCTATCACATCCACTCTGTTTAGTTCCTTAGTGACACTTTCATTACCCATAATTACCTTATTTATCTCTCGGTTGTTGTTTTTTTTTTTTCTCCTCTGCCACAGACTTTAAGGTCTAATGGGTCTTGCTTGCCCCTCTCCACCCAATGTCTGCAGGGATGCCTTCATATAGCAGGTGCTCAGAAAAATGTTTGTTGAATAAACAAACTGCACGTTCACCTTCCCCTCTTGAGTTCAGTCTAAGCTACTTAACATTTATGGAGGGCGTCCTCTGCGCCAGGCACTGGACTGAGGACTTAAAAGATATCATTGTCCTCCGGTTATCCCCGTTATCCAGATGAGGGGAATAAGGATTTCAAGAGGCGGCTGCATAATTTGAGGCCCCCGTTTAGCTTCTGACATTCTCTTATACTCGCCAGTGGGTTTTTTCCCCTGCATGAAGCACCCACCACATCCCAGACACCGCGCTTCTTGCTGGGGCTACGGCAGGAGCAGACTGAGGCATAGTGTGTATACTCGGAACCCTTTCCATGTCGGTTTTCTCTCTCCACCCTCCCAAGGATCCCGGGAGTTGACCAAATAAGTAGGTTGGCTCCATTTTATAGACGGGGAGTGTGAGGCCCGGTGATGAGTCCAGAACTGCCTGGTTACCGGCGCCTGGCCGTGACTGATAAGGGCGCTCGGGGCCCTCTCAGAGGCCCTACAGACAGTGGCCCAGACACCCAATCTCTCTGCCTGCCCCAGATTCTGCTCCGAAGCGGCCCAGCTGGGCTGCCGGCTCAGCGCACACAGCTTCTGCAGAGCCTGCCCACAGCCTGTGCTTGGCGCAGCCCCACTGCTGGATTCCTGTGTTGGTCCCCTGGTTCCCTCCTGGCACGCCCCAGGGCACCCGGGCAATAGGTGTGGGCTTCTAGTAGAGGCAGCAAGAAAGCAATCTGGGAAAGCTCCCTTGGTGAGTGTTCTGGAAAGGTAGAGAAACACTGCTGTTTTTTTAAGGCCCTCTCAGTCTGGTCTAAACGGGGAGACCGGAACCTGCCAGGTCCCATGGGGGGGGTCACTACAGGTCACCAATGCAGAGGATGCCCACCCTCACGGCTCTCCCTCCCGCTCTGGGCAGAAGGGGGTCTGAAGTGGCCCAGCAGGTTCCCATGACCCACCAGCAATCATAAACCAGTGCTTGGGCCCCATTACATAGCTAGGGTGTCAGGGGAAATGCCAGTCACATCAGTGGTCCGGGTTGGGACAGACTGACATCAGCCATTAAGAATAGACGTGCCATCGCAGGCCCTTCGTAACTTCGTGTTTTGAGAACTGAAAACCTGGGTATTTCCCCAGAGCCTTTCAGCAGCAGTTTGAAAGGAAGAAAAGGCTAGTATAGAATTTCTGGTAATATTCTCTTTTTTCCCCAGCTTCATGCTATAAGGAGAGCCAGTCAGGGCCAAGGTGGGAGGGGGAGGGCCCATACCAGGGGCGACAGGTGGGGACGTGTTGGAGGAAGGGCATTTTGCAGGGGTGCTCACCTTGAGCAAGCCCTGCCTCATACCCTTCCTCCCTCCTGGGAGCACATTTACCCAGGGGGATCTGACCTTGGTCGGTTTCCCCTAGAGAATATGACATCCTGGCAGATTGACTCCAACGGCGGCGACCACTGGAAGGTGGAGAGCCTCCCCGGAGACCACGGGACGGATTTTCCTGACTCCAGAGTCAAGAAGTACTTTGTCACATCTTTTGCGTAAGGCAAACAACCCAGCTGGCAGTGTTGAGGGGGGAAAGGGATCAGGACACCTTTTGCCAAACCTCGGGCCTCGGGGAGGGCCTCTCTCTGCAGCTTGAGGAAGTGGTTCCCAGAGCAGCACAGAGTCTGCGGCTGCCTAGAGCAGGAGTGCTCAGCGGCCTGGATTCTTGGGGGGGGGGGGGGAGCCATAGGAGGGGGCTGGGAGCCACTGCGTGATCAGGGTAAGTCCGAGGTCTCCTAATCTAGGAATATGAATTCACAGAGGTGCCCTCTTTGGGGCCCTTGGACTGAGATCACATGCCACCGAGGCACAGGTGAGTCAGACCCCCCCCCCCCCCATGGGTTTCTCACAGGCCAGCACCAGCCAGTGACCACAGCCCCGCCGCAGTCCGGGAATGTGCCTTTCCTTTTGTTCTACAGGATGTGCCTCAAGTCCCAGCTGGTGGACCTCAGGGCCGAGGGCTACTGGGAAGAGCTTCTGGACACATTCCGGCCTGACATCGTGGTTAAGGACTGGTGAGTGGGGCCCGGGCCACGCTCTGCCTCCTTCCCTCTTCTCTTCCTGAGAACACCTATAGGCAGTGCCCAGTGTGCGCCTGGCAGTGTCCTGGGGCGGGCGCTGCCCCCAGAGCTGGCCACGTGGCCCTGCCGCCCCTGCCTACGGACCCAGCATTTGTTCATTCCGCACCTCTGGGCCTTCCTGCCCCCCTGCATCAGCAAGGGCGAATTCCGGTTTTCAGACGGGGAGACTGAGGCCCACACACACACTGTCACCAAACAAGTACTGAAGCAGCAGAGACACCAGGACACCCCCTCCCCGGACTTTGCTCAGTGCCTCCCCTCCCCCGTCACCCCTCAGCTCTTTTCCAGGCTCCTGCTCAGTGCCCAGAGCTCTGCAAGGCTCTGGCTTGGCCCCCAGCAGCAGCGGCAGGACCCTAATTCCAGCCAGGCCCCAGGACTGCAACTCTAAAGGTCATGGATGGGGTTGGGGGGCCGTGCAGAGCTGCAGAGGGGTGGACAGCGGGGCTGAGCAGAGACTGAGCTCCGTCCCAGCCCCCGTCACACAGGCCGCCCCTTGAACCTCCCACCTAATCCCAGTCCAACCCACTATAACGTACAGGTGACACAGCTCCCACAGGCCAGGCTTTCATCTGTAGAGAGCCTTTTGCTGTGTTAAAGGGACATCCACAGAGGACACCCAAAAGGGTTGTCACTTTGCTCCACGGGGGTAAGTGTGGCCCAGCACAGAGAGACTGCTTACCCCAGGGGCACAGCAGGGCCCAGGGAGCAGAGAAACCAGTGGGCAGAGCAAGGAAATCCAACTCAGAGCTCCAGTTTGTGGGGCTGCTGCCTGCTCGCCTCCAGGGCCGCCTTCTGTCTTGGGGTGCACAGTCCTGAGCCCCAGCCTCCCCCAGGTTCGCCGCCAGGGCAGACTGTGGCTGTACCTACTACATCCGAGTACAGCTGGTCTCAGCCGACTACATCGTCCTCGCCTCCTTCGAGCCCCCACCCGTGATCATCGACCAATGGAACGATGCCAAGTGGACGGAGGTGAGGCCTCACCCACTCGCCCCTCTCCACCTGCTTCTCTCGGGCCCACGACGCCCGACGCCCGAGGAACAAGGGGCAGCCTCAGGGCATGGAATGCCCCCAGCTCCCTTGCCTGGAGCCCCTGCCCTCCAGCCCCCGTGACTCTCCCCTGCAGCACCTGGCTCCTCCCTTCCCCGCTCCAGCGGAGTGGTCGCCCGATCTTGTCCCTTCCCCAGGCCTGGCAATCACTTCTGCCTCTCCCCACCCCCCAGGTCTCCTACACTTTCTCAGATTACCCTCCGGGCGTCCGCCACATCCTCTTCCAGCACGGGGGCAAAGACACCCAGTTCTGGGCAGGCTGGTATGGGCCCCGCGTCACCAACAGCAGCATCATTATTAGCCCGAAGATGACCGGGAGCCGGCCCCCTGCGCAGCTCAGCCCGAGACCACAGAGGGGTAGGAGAAGGCTTTCCGCCTGCCCTCCATCCCTCCCCCCAGAAGGCCCTTCTGACAGTCTCTCATTTGATAACTGTTCACCCGTCCTCTGTCTGGGCCACCCAACTGCCAAACGTCCCCTCTGGCGGAGTCTGTAACGGGCAGTGAGGGCCCCTGCCCCTCCTGCCCCAGTTCATTCCAGCCCGGGGCAAACCCACCAGGCTGAGGGAACCCGCTGTCCTGTCCTCTGACGGTTCGTCACAATAAGTGTTTTCAGTAAAACCAGCGTGGGGTTGGGGCTAGGGGTGGGGGGCAGGGGCCCCTGGCACTTTGGCAGAGAAGCAGCCCCTACTCCCAGGTCAATTTGGCTGCTCCTGTCCCTCTCCAGTTAGTGACAGCCCAGCTCAGCCCTTGGGGCTCTTTATTGAAACAGCTCACAGCACAGTATTGGAGACAGACAGTGGTGGCCGGCCACACCCCAGGAGGCCAAGAAATCCAGGTCCCAGCATCCTTCCCTGCTCTCCCCGGGGAAAAGTCCTCCGTGAAGGCAACCAGACCTGAGCTGTGCCGGGCTAGAGAGTGGGTGGTCCATACACAGAGGCGATAAGAGCACTTGGAATCGAGGGGAGGGGGGCTCCCACAGCACTGCCCCAGGCTGGGGGCCCCCAGTGTCCCACGGTTGTCGCATCCCTGATCGGAGCATCACACCCTCAGCTGCTTTTGTGAGCTCGTTCTTCCACGTAGAGCTGCATCTAGTGGACAGGAATAAACCACCGAGGTCAGGAGCTCAGCCAGGGCACGTCCTCAGGAGAGCCCACAAGCCCCAGGCAGACAGATCTCTGCCAACTGTGGGTCAGTGTGGCACAGCCACGGGTTACGGGAGAGGGAGCTTGGAGTCTTACGCCAGGCGTTCCCTGGTCATCTCGTCCTAGCCTCGAGATGGCCTTCAATTCAAGGCCTCCGCATACCCTCAGTGAAGTTTACCAGGTCGCCATGCAGCTCACCTTTAAGATGTCTGACGTCATCGTCTTTAGTGGTATCAAACGGGGGTCATGCATGTGGACGTCCTGCTCATCTGCCAGGATCCAGGGAAAGTCCTAGGGTGGAGACCAAGGGAAGCGGGTGGAAGGGGGCCGGACCGCGGCCTGTCCTCACTCTGCTACCCACTCTCTCTCCAGAGCTGGGGTCCTCAGACTTCAGGGGACATCAAGATCACTAAGGAACGACCAGCAATGTAGATTCCCGGTTCCTCCACCCGAGAGGCCAAGCCCATAGATCCGAGCTGGACTGGGAGCCCAGGTGATTTTACAAGCCCACCACACCAAGTCCAAAACTGGTGGGTGAAGACCGCCCCTCCCCGTCCCCCACCCCGCTGTCCTCTCTTGAGAACCACCTCGGAGCTGGCAGCCCCGGGACACGGCTCCATCCTCCTCCCAGCACGGAGTGCCCAGGCGGGGTCATGAGAAGCACGTGGCCACACGGTTCACACAACAAAGACCTGCTGTGTGCTAGGCACTGCCGTAAACAAGGTTAAGAGTGAGCTGTCAGCAACACCTCTACCTGCTCAGAACTGTGGCATCTTGCTTTCAAAGCCTCCCAGCCCCCTCCCTGCACCCCCTCCCAGACGGGTTTCATCTCACCTTGATGACCTGAATCTTCTCCATGTTGCGGGTGGCCGCTTCTCTCGTGTGCACTAAGACCGTGAAGGTACAGCCTAAAGAAGCAAGGGTCTGGTCAAGGCTGGGCCACTGCACGCCTGCCACTGGACAGAGCCTCTTCCCTGCTCCTAGGCTGGCTCAGCAGCCCCCCAGGGGAGAAGAGTGTAAACCAACTGCTAAGACAAGATACAGTCCATAGGAAGACTGAACCCTGGTGGAGTCAATCAGGGTAGCTTCCTGGAGGAGGTGGACTTTCAGAGAGGTTCTAAAACGCCAAGGAAGAACCTCTTCCTTGATACAGCTTTCTCGTGGCTTGATACAGCACAGTAGGGACCTGAGACTGCAGACCAAGCCCAGGTAGCCACGGAAACGCCCCAGGATAACGGGGTGGGGGTGAGCACACCTGGGGGATTGTGGTCCAAGACAGCATCACACACGCTAATCTTCAGGATGAAGGCTCGGAGCAGCTGTTCTACGTGAGACAACAGGGAATCTGAACTGGAAGGAGAAAAGGATGGTATCCCATCACACTGCTGTCCCTTCCCACCAGCAGGCAAGCAACTGTGGAAACAGACCTGGGGGTCCAGGGCCCTTCTGAACATGTTGACTTCGGAGGGCTTGGCTACCTATCCTACCAACACAGTTATCTGGAGAGTTTAAAACCAATGCTGAATGGGGCACCTGGGTGGCTCGGTTAAGCATCTGACTTCAGCTCAGGTCAGACTTAGGCTCAGGTCATGATCTCACAGTTTGTGAGTTCGAGCTCTGCACCGACTGTGCAGAGCCTGCTTGGGATTCTCTCTCCCTCTCTCTCTGCCCCGCCACCACTTGCACTCTCTCTGTCTCAAAATAATAAATAAATAAACTTAAAAAAAAAATCAATGCCGAGTCCTGTGCTAAGTCCCATCCCAAACTAAGTCCAAATGGGGCACAGTGAACCCCCATAGGCAGTTCCAATGTGCAGCCAGGTCTGAGAACAAAGACACAGCCCTTTCCCTTCCAGGACGCCAAACCAGGAAGGGAAAGAGCTTGCCCAAGGCTACACAGCAAGTGGAAACAGATAACAGTGCCCTGACCTCACCATGGAACACCAGCAGCTGACCACCCAACACGCTTGCCCAAGGTCAACTTCTGGTTGACCGTGGACTAGATGCTTGACTAGGAAGTCAGAAAACTGGGTCCATGTCCCGGTTCTGCCACCATTTGGGTGACCCTGAGTAGTTCATGTCATCTCTCTGGTCCTTGGTCTATAAAAGGAGGTTGGGACTAGCCATTCAGCACTGCTATGGTTTTCCACGTGTGGACCTCACAGAGGTTACACGAAGACCACTGGGCGGCCAGCCGTGTTAGGATGGCATTCCTTGCCATTCTCCTCTTTACCGAGCTTCCTTGTGGAAGTGGACTTTCAAAGGGGCTCTAAAAGGCAGGAAGAGAGAGCAGTGGCTTGGTGCAGCCAAGTAGGGACCTGAGAACACAGACCCAGCTGAGGAAATCAGGGGCTGCCCTAAAGGGCTGAGTATGGGGCGGCTATTTCTAGAGACCCATACCAGCCAGCCAGCTAGTAGTCTGGGGAGAAGCAGCTTACCTGATGGACAGCAGTGGAGGTTGGGTGATTTCAAAGACGAATTTCTCCACTGGGCGGTGCTCTTTGTCCAAAATCACCACCACCACTTTCTCCACATCATTCTGCAAGGACAGGAATCCTCTGCTCCAGACCCAGGTGCCCCCCCCCCCCCCCCGATCATACAGCCAGTCTTCTTGCCCAGACTCTCCCTGCCCTGAACTCTCTTTGTTATAAGGAGACACAGNCCCCCCCCCCCCCCGCCAGCACCACCACCTCCCTGCCCAAGGAAGGATAGGAAGGGCACACTCACAGCCCTTCTCAGCTTCTAGGCTGAGGGTCCCTGTGAGCCCGGGAGGAGGTCTGAGAACTTCAAGTAGGCACCGCCTGACATGAGTGGTACAGACTGAGAGGGGAGAGTGCTTGGGCCCCATGGGGGTCACCAGGACATCTCAGAGAGCGGGACAAGGTAGACGGAGGAAGCCCTCCGGGGGGCAAGCCCAGACAGAGGTTGGGGGGGCAGAGAGAGGAACAGATGTGAGAAGAACCCAGAACCCTCTGGGGCAGGCCCCACTTGGCCAACTCCACGAAATGGGGCTCCGGGGCCCAGCACACCCTGAATGTGGCCCCGAGGTCTATCCTTGGGTGGGGGTGGTCTCCAGGGTGCAAGACACAAGCTTTTGGGAATAGAGTCATAGGGACCCCCCTACACAGTCCCAGCATCACCTCTTCCTGGAGCACTGGAGGAGCAGGTTGGGAGTGAAGTAGGCTGGGGAACCTGGCACCCTCACCTTCTCCAGGAGTGGCTTGACACAGTGCAGGGTGTCCTGGATATACTGGTTCAGCTCCGGGTGGCAGGACATCTGCACACAAGCCCATGATGGCTGCTGAGGCCCGAAGCACCACAGGAAAAGCACCCAACACCCCTACCTCCAGGAGCCCAGGGAGAGAGGCCAGCAGTTCCCTAGTGCTCCCTACCCAGGAGACCGACTTCCCATCAGGGGGCTAAGCACTGCAAGTTATCCCCCCGGAAGGTAGAAGATAAGAATTCAGTCTCGCGGCACCTGGCTGGCTCAGTCGGTTAAGCATCCGACTTCAGCTCAAGTCATGATCTCATAGTTCGTGGGTTCGATCCCCACGTCGGGTTCTGTGCTGACAGCTCAGAGCCTGGAGCCTGCTTCAGATTCTGGGTCTCCCTCTCTCTCTGACCCTCCCCTGCTCACGCTGCCTCTCTCGCTCTCAAATAAATTAAAAAAAAATTCAGTCTCAACGTTAGCGCTTAATATAGCATTGTGGGTTTCTTTTTTTTTTTTAATTTTTTTTAATGTTTTTATTTATTTCTAGGAGATAGAGAGAGAGACAGCGTGAGCAGGGGAGGGTCAGAGAGAGAGGGAGTCACAGACTGAAACAGGCTCCAGGCTCTGAGCTGGCCGTCAGCACAGAGCCCGACGCGGGGCTCGAACCCACGAACCGTGAGATCATGACCCAAGCGAAAGTTGGACACTCAACCGACTAAGTCACCCAGGCGCCCCGGCATTGGGGGTTTCTAACGTGAGGTCTGTGGGCTCCTCCAGAGGCAGAGAAGTCCCTAAATTGTGTGTGTATTTGGGCATCCAGGCATTTTCCCCAGAGAAGGGATCCAAAAATTTAATCAATTTTCAAAAATTGAGAATCTGGGACTAAGAGCTATGTGGTCTCAGGTAAATCACTTAACTTCTCTGAGCTTTAATTACTTCATCTGCGGAAGATCTCATAAAGGAAAAGTGATGAGTAGTGAGAATCCCGTACTACACAGTGGGTGCATAGTAAGTGCCTCCTTTTTTCCTTTTCCTTCAAGCTTCCACCACCTTCCAGTATTGGGTCATTCATTTATTCTAATATTTACTGAGTGTCTTCTAAGAGGCCAGCCCTTCTAGAAACTGGGGACAGGGTAGCCTTTGTTTACCGCGTTGTCTACCTTTTAACCTAAAACAACCCATACAATGAGGGCAGAGAGCAGGGGTTCCTGAGGTTTACAGGAATCACCTCCCCAAACCAACCATTCACGAGTCTCAGGGCTCTTTAAAATACAACCATGCCCCAGGGGCAACTCTAACCCAGGGGTCTGGTCCCTAACTTGAGGCAATGGGAACTCCCAGTTCAGAGGGATGGAAAGAAAAGTCTCTGCAGTTGTGGCTGGGAACTGAAAGGCAAGGCCAGGCCGCTGGAGAGTGAGGGGACTCAGCCTGAAAGCGGAGGAGAGTTCAAACATCCACCCTCTATCCACCTTGAGGCTCAGGGGTGACCAGAGGTGGGGGCTCACCTGGACAGGCACGTTGTACTTCTTACGCTTCTGGAAGATGCCCACCGGGTAGACCTCGCGCACGTAGAGGATGAGGTGCACGGCCACCTCCAGGAACTCACAGAGCACGTCGGCCACCACTGCGCGGGGGTGAAGCCGGTGAGCTCCGGAAGCCCGCCGGCCCAGGCCCTCCCTCGCCCCCACCCCCCACCCCGGGTCCGCAGGTCCAGCCTCCCTACCTTGACCAAAGTTGAGGTCCTGTCGCGTGAGTGTGGTCATCCTCACCGCCACCTAGGGGGTGGGGCAGGAGTGGGGGCTGGTTCTAACGGACCAGGCAGCCGCAGGGTGCGCTCGCCTCCACCGCCCCTCCCCTCCGTCTGGAGGGAATCGAGGCAGGACGTCCCCCCTCACACAGAATCAGGGCAGCTAGAAGGGACCTCCCACGCTGGCGTCATAGCTCGGGGACATTAGCTGCGCCCCGATCAGCCTCGGTCTACTGGCCCCTCGCCCTGATGTCGGGGGAGTGGGGGGGGGGCAGAGCTGTACCCGCATAAAGGGCACAGCCGCAGAGGGAACGGCGGGTTGCCTAGGCCCGCGAGCGCCTAGCGGGACGCGCTGAAAACGAAACGGGGCTGGAATAAGACGCCACCCTCTGCCCGGCCGGAAACCTCCTCGGAGGGAACCCCGCCTCTCTCCCCTCCCCCGGGACGGGGAACCACCGACCCGACCACTCGCGCCTCCCGCTCCACCAGCCGCCGGGACTCCGCTCCGAGACTTCCGCGGAGCTCGGGCAGGTCCTAGTGACCGCCTCCGGCCACGCCCACTTCCCCCCGCAGCCAACCAGCGGGCGGGAGGAGCGGCCGCCGGCGGGGCGGGGCTTGGGAGGGGGCGGGCCCGGCCTCGTCTCTCGGGATCCCAAGGCGGGAGAAGCGGAGACTGCGCGGTACCGCCTCCCTTTGGCTTGGGGTGGGCGCGAAAAAAGACACCTTTGCTCTCCACACCAGACCGCCACGTATTTTGCTCCCCAGGGCATTTGTCTCGCTTTGGGAAGCGTTGGGAGGGAGCGGATGGGTGTTGCTGGTGAGGACCAGGTGGAGGGTACAGCTGGGGACTCGAGACAGCGACATCTACTGCCAGCTGCCGAGT